TATCTTTCTTTTTTAAGTTGTTTTATTTCTCAGCTTTATTGTACACCCTTGGATCACAGTCCAAGTGATTTAATCTCTAGCTTAGATTTACGTGAGCTGGCTTGACAGGTGTAAGCATCTAATAGGGTGCTAGTTTTTGAGCTTCTTGTAAAATCGTTTGAGAGAAGAATCTCTCTTCTCTCTCCTCAACCGATACATTAGAGTGGAGCAGACAATGAATGAAAACAGAAGCATTATTTTCTCATCAAGGCAACGCTCTCTTTTCTCACATTTCTTCTGTGATTTCCTTTGCTCCCAAAATATCCAAAATATGAAATGCTGAAACTAAGAATTCTAAAATGGTATCGAGAGCCAGGTTCGATTGCTTGAGCTGGGCGTGAATCTGTGAGTGAATCGGAGAAATTGGGTTTCGGTTGAGTTGAAATCGAGCTCGTCTGAAGATCGCGATTTCTCAAATCCAATGTCTAATATGGCAGGATCGAGTACCTCTGAGCTACGAACTCCAATTTTCAATGGAGAAAATTATGAGTTCTGGAGTATCAGAATGAAAACTATTCTGAAATCTCATGGTTTATGGGATCTAGTTGAAAATGGTCTCAATGTTTCAGATCTAAAGAAGGAGAAGGAGATTGAAGAGATGAAGGTTATTGAGAAGGAGGAGAAGGAGATAGAAGAGATGAAGGCTACTGAGAAGTCTACGATGGCTGGAATATTGATGAAGGATGCTCGTGCGCTTGGTTTGATCCAAAGTGCTGTCTCCGATCAGCTCTTTCCCAGAATAGTGAACGTGGAGACCTCAAAGGGTGCTTGGGATATTCTGAAGCTGGAATTCAGAGGAGATAAACAGGTACGAAATGTAAAATTGCAAGGATTGCATAGAGAATTTGAATATACCCGCATGAAAGATAGTGAATCTCTATCTGTATATCTGGTTAGGTTGTTTGATATAATAAATCATATGAAGAGTTATGGTGAGGCACTATCTAGAGAGAGAATTGTCCAGAAACTATTATTTAGTTTGCCAAAATCTTATGATTCTATCTGCTCTGTAATTGAACACTCTAAGGACCTTGAAACTCTTGAGGTTCAAGAGGTTGTTGCTTCTCTGAAGAGCTTTGAGCTCAGATTGGATAGACACACTGAGAATTCTACAGAAAGGGCCTTCACTAGTCTGAATGTTGATAGGAAAAACCTTGAAAATGGAATTGCTTCTGCAAATCAAATATCTCAGAAAAATTGGAAATCCAACGATGGAAACAAAACGGCCTGCAAACACTATGACAAATTTCATTATGGCAAGTGCTGGTATGAAGGGAAGCCTAAATGCCACGGTTGTGGGAAGCTTGGACACATGATTAGAGATTGCAATGGACACAAGAATGTGCAGAGAGTGAATTATGCAAATCAGGTGGAAGATTTTGGAACTTTGTTTTATGTGTGTAATGCTGCAACTGATGTGAAGGTAAATCACTCTTGGTATATTGACAGCGGTTGTAGTAACCACATGACAGGAGATGAGGGACTCTTAGTGAATATTCAAAGGGATTTGACCTCTAAGGTGAAGATGGGAACTGGAGAAGTAGTTCCAGTTGCTGGAAAAGGAACTCTGGTGATCAAAACCAAGTTGGGTAAGAAGCACATTCATGAAGTGATGCTTGTACCTGGTCTTGAAGAAAACTTGCTTAGTGTTGGGCAAATGATGGAGCATGGATACCATCTTGTGTTTGGAGGAAATATGGTGAATGTCTATGATGATCAGTCACTGGAAAATCTGATTGTGAGGGTGCAAATGACAAACAACAGATGTTTTCCACTTACAATGATGCCTGCAAGGGATATGGCTTTGAGAACAAGTGTTTCACACTGCTTGTAGACATGGCACAAGAGGTTGGGACACTTAAATGAAAGGAGCATAAAAATGCTTGAAAATGAAGGCATGGTTCATGGCTTACCTCATTTGGAGCAGATTTCAGTGGTTTGTGATGGTTGTATGCAAGGAAAGCAGCACATAGACTCTTTTCCTTTGGAATCCAGTTGGAGAGCAACAAGTCCTTTGGAATTGGTTCACACAGATATCTGTGGACCAATGAAGACAGAATCTATTTCTGGAAACAAGTATTTCCTGCTATTTACAGATGATTGCACTAGAATGTCATGGGTGTACTTCATCATAAATAAGTCAAGTGCATTGGAATGTTTTAGAAAATTCAAAGCTATGACTGAGCTGCAAAGTGGGTATAAGATAAAAGGCTTGAGAAGTGACAGGGGTGGAGAGTTTCTATCTGGAGAATTCAACAAGTTTTGTGAGGAATCTGGTATTCAAAGGCAGCTAACTATGGCATACTCTCCACAGCAAAATGGAGTGGCCGAGAGGAAGAACAGGATAGTAGTGGAAATGGCCAAGTCCATGCTGCATGAGAAGGGTATTCCTTATGAATTTTGGGCAGAAGCAGTAAATACTGCAGTCTATCTACTAAATAGATGTCCCACCAAGGCTCTTAATAAGATAACACCATTTGAATCCTATACGAGCAGAAAACCAGGACTTGCACACTTAAAGATTTTTGGATCTCCTTGTCATGTGCTTATTCCTTCAGCTTTGAGGCATAAGCTTGAAGAAAACAGTCACAAGTGTATTTTTGTAGGCTATGGTCTCTGTGAAAAGGGATATAGGCTGTTTGATCCAAGTACTAGGAAGATAATTCTGTCCAGAGATGTGCAATTTGATGAAAATGGCTTATGGAAGTGGGAAAATACAAATGAAGAAGAGATGGCAGTCCCTTTGCCTACTGAGAATCAAAACTGTGAACCAAGTCAAAGCTTGGATACACCACTGCAAATGGATGAAGAAGTCACATTACAAGCTGAACCAAGTCAAAGCTTGGATACACAAACTCAAATAGATGAAGATACTACTCTGCAAGATGAAGGCATAGGTGAAAGTTCTCAAGTCTTTGATCACACACCAAAGAAATGGAGAAGTGTAAAGGAAATCATGGCTAAGTGTAATGTGTGTATTGTCGAACCTGAAAATTATGAAGATGCAACTCAAGATGAGTCATGGAGAAAAGCAATGGAAGCTGAACTGGAAATGATAGAAAAAAATGACACTTGGAAACTTGTCGAGAGACCATTTGCTAAACCTGTGATTGGTGTTAAGTGGGTCTACAAGACTAAACTGGATCTAGATGGTACTGTGCAGAAAAACAAGGCTCGTTTAGTGGCTAAAGGCTACTCACAAAAGCTCGGTATTGATTACAATGAGACTTTTGCTCCTGTGGCAAGGCTAGACACCATTAGGACCTTGATTGCTCTTGTTGCACAGAAGGAATGGAGCTTGTATCAACTAGATGTGAAATCTGCATTTCTTAATGGAGTTTTAAAGGAGGAAGTATATGTGGATTAGCCACAAGGATTTGTAAAGAAGGATGAGGAAACAAAGGTATACAAGTTATACAAAGCTTTGTATGGTTTGAAGCAAGCACCAAGAGCTTGGTATGACGAGATTGATGCCTATTTCAACAAGGCTGGTTTCAAGAAAAGTCCAAGTGAGGCAACTTTATATGTTAAGGCAGAAGGTTCAGATGTTCTTATTGTCTCTCTATATGTCGATGATATAGTGTACACAGGCAGTAGCTCCCAAATGATTGAGGAGTTTAGGAGAGATATGATGGACCATTATGAGATGACAGATTTGGGAGTATTACACCATTTTCTTGGAATGGAGGTGATACAGTCTAAACAAAACATTTTCTTGCATCAGAAGAAGTATGGACAGAAGCTGGTTGAAAATTTTGGTTTGAAAGATTGCAAAATAGTGGCTACACCACTTGCAATGAATGAGAGGTTAAGTAAGAATGATGGAAGTGAGGCTGCAGATGAAGGAGAATATAGACAGATTGTGGGCAGTTTGCTCTACTTGACTGCAACTAGGCCTAACATAATGTTTGCAGCTAGCCTCTTGGCAAGATTCATGCACAATCCCACCAAGAAACACATGGGAACTGCTAAAAGGGTATTGAGATACATTCAAGGAACAATAGACTTTGGAATTGTATTTGAGAAGGGAAAAGAAACTACTCTTATTGGCTATTGTGATAGTGACTGGGCAGGAAGTGAAGATGACATGAGGAGTACCTCAGGGTATGCTTTTACTATGGGATCGGGAGTGTTTTCGTGGGCTTCAATTAAGCAAAATACAGTTGCTTTGTCTACAGCAGAGGCAGAATATATAAGTGCTGCAGAGGCTACTTCTCAAGCAAAGTGGCTGAGATTTGTACTTGAAGATTTTGGAGAAGAACAGATTGAAGGAACACAGATAATGTGTGATAACACATCAGCAATTGCTATGGCAAAGAACCCTGTTTTCCACCAGAAGTCAAGGCACATTAACAGAAAGTTTCATTTCATTCGAGAAGCAATTCAAGCCAAGGAGATAGAACTTGTCTACTGCAGAACTGAGGAGCAAATTGCAGATATTCTGACTAAAGCTTTGCCTAAGGACAGGTTTGCATACTTAAGGGAATTACTTGGTGTTAAGTCGGCTAAAGGATTAGAAGGGAATGTTGGTGTGTAATCCTTCAGCCGAGTTTTGGAGCTAAAGGAATTGCGTCTATTCTGTTTTCATTTCTTTTAGTTGTTTATTTTTTAGTTTTATTGTGCACCCTTGGATCACAGTCCAAGTGTTTTAATCTCTAGCATAGGTTTAAATGACATGTGTAAGCATCTAACTAGCTTAGATTTACGTGAGCTGGCTTGACAGGTGTAAGCATCTAATAGGGTGCTAGTTTTTGAGCTTCTTGTAAAATCGTTTGAGAGAAGAATCTCTCTTCTCTCTCCTCAACCGATACATTAGAGTGGAGCAGACAATGAATAAAACAGAAGCATTATTTTCTCATCAGAGCAACGCTCTCTTTTCTCACATTTCTTCTGTGATTTCCTTTGCTCCCAAAATATCCAAAATATGAAATGCTGAAACTAAGAATTCTAACATGCAGAACTAAAGGCGGATCTCTTAATGCCTAACATGATATTTACATATGAGAAACTCCCAATGGTCTACAGTGTAAACTTACGATTATTTACAGAAATAGCTGATATAAGAGGACCATAAACTCCTCTAAGTGGGATACCAGTCGTCCCTTTCCCAGCCCAATAGAAACGGATCTCCAAGGTACCACTAGTTACAGAAGCATTAAAGTTCTTTATGACTGCCTTACCAACCCCACCAGCTTCATCCGCAATATTGAAATCCTTCAGCCGTTTTATCCCCTCAAATATGCTAATGTAGTTACTTAAACATTTCATGATCGAAATGTGGTTTATTTTTTCAGCCTTGACTGCTACCTATTTTACATGTTATTACTAGAAATTCATAAACATTTGAATTAACCAGGAACTGAACAGTGTCTGTTGACCTTTACCTGAATGTAAACATCAAATATACGCCTTCCCAGGCTTCTATATGATTTGTTATTTGTAAACTCTGTCTCTGCAAAATGGAGGTTTACAGTGTAGTCTCCGTTTCCCAGACAAAACCCATAATAAGTTAGAGAGATGGGAGAAAGGCGTGCTTCCGTGTACAGTTGTGGATTGGGCATGGAGAGTCTAGATTCTTTATTTTGGATAAAGATGTCTTGAGTATGGTCATCATCAGGAAAGTAACCAGTGCTGCTTAAAGCCCAATTTGTTGTTGTGCTATGGCGAAACGATGAAGGTCCAACCAAATATGTGTCACCATTAAATGTTGTATTTTTTTCCCCAAAAACAGTTACTTCTTTTCCACCACAATTTATATGGAGAGAGTACAAAGCTACAACAGAAAGCAAAAGATTAGTGGCCATCCAGGAGGAAAACAAAAAAGAATCCATTTTGGCAATTATTTCTATTATTCCATTTTGGCATTAGAAGATTCAGGGGTACGATGAATGACTACACATGCAGGTTCATGATGGGTTGAGGCAAGTGTATAATGGTCTTCTTTCACATAGTATTTTTCCTTTTGGATCATAGCTCCCCAAAAAAAAAAATCAACGATAAATAAATATATCTTGAAGCAATATGTGGAAACCCAACTTACGTTTTTGACATTTTGCAGTTGTGCATGAAACAGTTTTTCTGGTAGGATTAATGCAGCAGGATCCAGAAGAAGTCAGCAAAATAACATCATAAATGAAAATAAGTTGTAAAATAAAATAAGAATACTCAGTTGGAATGCCAAGTAAATTTATCTATGCATATGCTTTCAGAGGATTAATGTGTAACTTACGAACTAGTATTGGCCTCTGAAAAGCTTGCAAACAAGTTCCTGTAGAAATTAACACAAATTGAAAATTTAAGTTTGCTCTACAAGACACAAACAAAGTAAACTCAAGCTAATGAAAACATTCTTACAAGCCGCCTTGTGATTGACAACCTTTGTTCCCTATGGTGAAGTTATTATATGAAAGATCACTGCACAAAAAGGGCTGTTACGTAAATTCCTTTCCAAATGCAGTATGAGAACAGAAAATAAAATGAGGAGCAAGAGGTAGGTATTAACATGGTTGGACTGAAGTTTTGAAATCATAGTTTATATCAATTCTGGCAAGATTTAATTCTGAAAATCCAATATTAAAACAATCAACCAAACTTCATGAGAAGAAAAATATTAGCTACTTGCACTATTCATAGTCATAGGTGTCTAAGCTCTCACAACTGTCCACGTTAAGCCAAGTTCACCTTAAAATTTCCTCGTACTGAATTTGGTCAAGCTACCCGCATCTCATAACATATAGTATACCATATGATAAAGGTCCACCCCAAGACAGGGGCATAGCCATCATTTATTTACCTTCTATGTTGATTAGGTCAATCTCTCCAACTTATGCATCTACTAAACATTGTTGAATATGTCGAATCCTATCCTTCCTTGTCTTCCCACACATCCATCTTGACATTCTCATTCCCACCACTCATTTTATGAACATGTTGTTTTCTAAGTGCCTAGAATTTCGTCCCATATAGCGTGGCTGGTCTACCATATAACATTTCATGATCGTAAATTCATAAACATTTGAATTAACCAGGAACTAAACAGTGTCTGTTGACCTTTACCTGAATGTAAACATCAAATATACGCCTTCCCAGGCTTCTATATGATTTGCTATTTATAAACTCCGTCTCTGCAAAATGGAGGTTTACAGAGTAGTTTCCATTTCTCAGACAAAACCCATAATAAGTTAGAGAGATGGGAGCAGGGACGGACTCAGGATTTGAAAATGACATGGGCTAAATTCAAGGGCAAAGTTAGGAATATTTGTAGGAGTAGGCTAAATGTTGAAACGAATCCAATAATTGATATATTTGTTTAGACTGTGTTTAATGGATACCTTTTTTTTTGGGGTAAATTATAAGCTCTTGTTTGTTACCAAAAAAAATTATAAGCCCTCTTTTTCCAATATATATATTTTCTTTATCATATTTAGAACTTTTTTTCTATTCTACTGACATTTGAAACAGACAAAAATATTGGAATTATTGATAATATTGTTGAAAGATTTGGAAGGGATTGAAGGGAAACAAAGAAAAAAAAGAAAAGAAAGAGGAAAGCTACACATGTACTGGGAAATATTTAGAAGGAATTGAAGTAAAAATAAAATAAAAACACAAATCTCATCCCAACACACACATCCTTTTTTTTTATTCTATTTCCTCCTTTCCCCTTTTTTATTCTATTTCTTTTCTCTCTCTCTCTCTCTCTCTCTCTCTCTCTTCTCTCTCTTTCTTTCCAATTGTTTATCATCTCCCCCTCTGTTTTTTATTCTTTTTCCTTCTTTCTCTCTTCCTTTTTCTTTCTTCTTCCTCTCTGTTCTTTCTTCTTCCTCTGTTCTTTCTTCTTGTCAGCCAGCTGATTGCCTAGGCTAGAGTACTAATTTAATCCCCAAAAAAAGAAGTTCCTTGGGCTATAGCCCAAGTTAACATGTTCATGGGACCGTCCCTAGATGGGAGAGAGGCGTGCATGCATGTACAGTTTTGGGTTTGCCATAGAGAGTATAGATTTATTAGTTTGGATAAAGGTGTCTTCAGGACGGTCATCATCAATAAAGTAACCAGTGCTGCTTAAAGCCCAATTTGGTGAGGTTTGGAGAAATGAAGAAGGTCCAGCCCAATCTTTGTCAGCATCAAACTTGGACCCATTAACAGTTACTGCTTCTCCACCACAATTTATACGGAATTCGTACCCAGCTACAACAGAAAGCAAAAGGGGATTAGTGGCCATACGGAGAGATTACTTCTTTATCTCTTCTATTTCATTTCAAAGGAACTGTCAGAGGATTAGTCGACATTTTAAGCAAAAGGACTATGGGCATATGGGAAACCCAACTTACTTGGTTGACATTTTGGAATTTCCAAACATGTAGTTTTTCTGATCGGAGAATGCAGCAGGATCCAGAAGAAGTCAGCAAGATAACATCATAAATGAAAATAAGTTGTGAAATAAAAATTAAGAATACACAGTTGGAATGCCAAGTAAATTTATCCATGCATGTTTTTAGAGGATTAATTTGTAACTTACGAACTATTGGCCTATGAAAAGCTTTCAAACAAGTTACAGTAGAAATTAACAAAAATTGAAAAATTGGTACAAGACACAAACACAGTAAACTCAAGCTAATGAAGACATTCTTACAGGCTCCTGCGTTGTGATGGACAACCTGTGGCCCCTATGGTGAATTTGTTATATGAAAGATCACTGCACAAAAATTTCCAAATGCAGCAGTATGAGGTAGGTATTCACATGGTTGGACTGAAGTTTTTTATATCAATTCTAGCGAGAGTTAATTCTGAAAATCCAATACTAAAACACCATTCATAGTCATAGGTGCCCTTGTTGAAATATAAGTGTCTTAGCTGATATAAGTTTGTATTTAGCTTAAATTTACAGATTTGATGTGAGCCCTTGGATTACAGTCCAAGTGGACTGCTGAGATTTAATCTTAGAATAGAAAATGATTGGTTAGATTGGATGATGTCAGTTTTAGGAATGTTTTGTTCCAGCTGGTGTTAGTGCACAGTGTGTGCGTGATGAAATGAAGAAGATTGATCTTTGCTCCTTCTTCAAGCTCTCTTTCTCTCTCACTCTGTAAATTCTCTATGAAATCTTCTACTCATTCATGTCCATTGCCTAAAATGCAAGTTAAGATTTAGATCATAGTCTAAATTCTAACATGGCCTCAGAGCCAGGTTCGGTTGTTTAGCTGGGCGATTGAATCTGTGAAGAGCTGCGATTTGAAGAACTCATTCTCTTGAAAGATCTGTGTCTAACATGGCAGGGTCTGGAGGTGGTGAGCTGAGAGCGCCGATCTTTGGCGGAGAGAACTATGAATTCTGGAGCATAAGAATGAAAACCATTTTCAAATCTCATGGGCTTTGGGAATTGGTTGAGAAGGGAATCGAATGCTCAGATTCGAAGGGAGCTGACGAATTTGAAGCAAAGAAGAAAGAAAAGGAAGAATCGAGCGGTGCTGGGAAGATGACGGTCTCTGAGCTGCTCATGAAGGACGCCAAAGCTCTGGGTCTGATTCAAGGAGTTGTGTCTGAAGAGATCTTCCCTCGAATCTCTCATGAAGAAACCTCTAAGGGTGCTTGGGATATCTTGATGAAGGAATTCCATGGTGATAAACAGGTTAGAAGTGTTAAATTGCAAGGTTTACGAAGAGAATTTGAATATATGAGAATGAGGGATGATGAGTCCTTTTCTGTTTATATTACCAAATTGTTTGATCTGATAAACCAAATGAGGAGCTATGGAAAGGATTTAACTAGAGCACGAATTGTTCAAAAACTACTAATCAGTTTGCCATCAGCCTATGATGCAATCTGTTTTGTTATTGAGCATTCTAAGGATTTGGATAAAATTGAGGTTCAAGAAGTGGTAGCTTCTTTGAAGAGTTTTGAATTAAGACTAGATAGGCATTCTGGAGATAAGACTGAGAAAGCCTTTGCTAGCCTTAGTGTGAATCCCAAATCTGAAAAATATAGTGGAAGTCAGAGTGGTTCTAAAGATCAAAAGAATTGGAAAACAAAAGGCAAAAAGTGGGATAATAAACCCACTGATGGAGCTAGAAACCCCTGCAAACATTGTGGCAAGCTACATTTTGGTGAATGTCGGTTTAAGGGAAAACCAAAATGTTACAATTGTGATAAATTTGGCCATATTGCAAAGGATTGCTACAGCAAGAAATCACCTCAACAGCTCAACTATGCTACTCAGACCGAATCCACACCAACCATGTTTTATGTTAGTAATCAAAGTACTACTAATGTAAAAGGATGTGATGATGTATGGTATTTGGATAGCGGATGCAGCAATCACATGACTGGCAGAGAAGATGTGTTAGTTGATGTTGATAGGAATGTAACTGCAAAAGTGGCAATGGGCACAGGACAATTGATTGATGTTGTTGGAAAAGGAAATCTGGTTGTTGACACTAAGATGGGAAGAAGGTATGTCAACGAGGTACTGTTAGTTGCTGGTCTCAAGGAAAACCTGCTCAATGTTGGCCAAATGATGGAGCATGGATATGTTCTGATTTTTAGTGCCAATAAGGCTGAGATTTATGATGATAGTTCCCTATCAAATCTGGTTGCAAGTGTGCAAATGAGAGGCAACAGAAGCTTTCCTTTAAAACTTCACTCAACCCTGCAGGTTGCACTAAGAGCAACTGTAGAGTCATCCTTAGTTTGGCATAGGAGAATGGGGCATTTGAATTTCACCAGTTTGAAGCTGTTGCAAAATCAAGGAATGGTACTTGGATTACCAGAAATTGAGCTTGTACATGAAGTATGTGAGGGGTGTGCTTTTGGAAAACATTGCAGAGATTCTTTTCCAAAGGAAACAACAAGCAGAGCCAAAATTCCACTCGAGTTGGTACACATAGATGTCTGTGGACCTATGCAGACTGTTACCAAGGCTGGAAATAGGTATTTTCTTACCTTCATGGACGATTGCACTCGTATGTATTGGATATATTTCTTGAGATACAAATCTGAAGTTCTTTATGTCTTTAAGAAATTTAAAGCCACTGTTGAGCTGCAAAGTGGATATAAGTTGAAGAAAATAAGAAGTGATAGAGGGGGAGAATATACTTCCAAAGAATTCAACAAATTCTGTGAAGACATGGGATTGGAAAGGCAGCTGACTGTGGCATATTCACCACAGCAAAACGGAGTGGCAAAACGGAAAAACAGAACGATTATGGAGATGGCTAAATGCATGATGGTTGAGAAGAAAATACCTCTAGAATTTTGGGCTGAGGCAGTAAACACTGCTGTGTATGTTCAGAACCGATGTCCAACCAAGGCCTTAGACAAGAAAACTCCATTTGAGGCTTATAGTGGCAGAAAGCCAGGAGTTAAACACTTAAGAGTGTTTGGATCTTTGTGCTATGCACATGTTCCAAATCAACAAAGGCAGAAGCTTGATGTGGCTAGTACAAGATGTATATTTCTGGGGTATGGCAGCTGTGAAAAGGGCTATAGGTTATACAATATTACATTTGGAAAACAGATTGTTTCCAGGGGTGTGATATTCAATGAGGCTGCTGCTTGGGATTGGAATGCACATAAAGAAAGTGATATCTCTATACCTCTTAATGAGTCACTCACCGAGAGAGAAGAGGAATCTAGTGACTCTAGCCTGAGTCAAGAAGAAATTTCAGAAGAAGGGTAGGTTGACTCTGACTCAGGATCACCGGATGTTGACCACACACCTTTGAAATACAAGAGTATTGTTGAAGTGTATGCAAGATGTAACTTGTGTATTATCGAGCTTGAGACTTTTGAAGAGGCTGTGAAGGATGAAGCATGGCAAAAGGCAATGGAAAATGAGATAGAAATGATAGAAAAGAACAAGACTTGGGAGTTGGTTGATAGACCGACTGATAAACCAGTAATTGGTGTCAAATGGATTTACAAAACCAAGCTGAACTTGGATGGCACAGTTCAGAAAAACAAGGCTCGACTAGTGGCTAAGGGCTACTCTAAAAAACCAGGGATTGACTTCAATGAAACGTTTGCACCTATTGCTAGGTTGGATACCATTCGAACTTTGGTGGCTTTGGCTGCACAAAAGGGGTGGAAATTGTTTCAGTTAGATGTGAAATCGTCATTCTTGAATGGAGTGTTGCATGAAGAGGTTTATGTGGATCAGCCTCCTGGTTTTATGATTAAGAACAAAGAGGACAAAGTGTATAGACTCAAGAAGGCATTATATGGACTTAAGCAAGCTCCAAGAGCTTGGTATGAGGAAATCAATTCCTACTTCACCAGGGCAGGTTTTCAGAGAAGTCCTAGTGAGGCAACCCTATATGTTAAAGCTGCAGAAAGTGGTATTATCATTGTTTCATTATATGTAGATGATATTATCTACACTAGAAGTTCAAAAGCTTTGATGATGGAGTTCAAAACTGAAATGATGAGGCAATATGAAATGACTGATCTCGGTTTGCTTCACCATTTCTTGGGGTTAGGAGTGATTCAAACGGAGTCTTATATTTTCTTGCACCAGAAGAAATATGCTAAGACATTGCTAGATAAGTTTGGTTTCAAGGACTGTAAAGCAGTGGCTACTCCCCTTGCAATAAATGAAAAGCTATCCAAGGAAGATGGAAGTGAACAAGCTGATGAAGGAGTCTATAGGCAGATTGTTGGCAGCCTGTTGTACTTGACTGCAACAAGGCCTGACATTATGTTTGCAGCAAGTCTCTTGGCCAGATTTATGCATGGACCTACTAGAAAACACATGGGAACTGCAAAAAGGGTACTGAGGTACATTCAGGGCAGATTTGACTATGGCATTGCATATGAGAAAGGAAAAGAAGCTAGACTCATTGGCTACTGTGACAGTGACTAGTCAGGAAGTGAGGATGACATGAGAAGTGTTGTGAATTAAGACTAACTCACTTCCCCTTAGGACCTTGTTGTTGATGAACTTTGTGACAAACTCTATGATGGATGAGTCTTACACACACACAGAAATTTAACCAAATAGAAATGACACAAGTGTTTATAGAGGTTCAGCAAAGTGCCTACTTCCTCTTTGGTGATCTCCTTGAGAACTTTCACTAATGAAGATAGGTTACAACTTTGGTTTACAAAGAAGGAAACCCCCTTAGAAATCTACCCTCACAATCTGTTTCTCTCTCACCCTTGCTCAACACCTTGATACACTTAGAGAACTCTCTTGCTCTCCCCTTGGTATTTTCTGAACTTACAAGTTTCCAGCTTCTTTTCAACTCTCTATACTTTGCACTAACTTATGCACTTAACAACTTAATGTTCTCTTGCTTCCTCTTCCCTCTTATATAGGCCTTTGGACTCCAAGATAAGGTATCATTAAGTTCTGCACGTTCTTGCTTTAGTTACACAACTTTAGACACCTGTTCTTGGCAGCTCACAAAGCAAGGGAACAATGGATGATAGCTGCCATATATCTCTTGAACCAAGAGAGTATTCACTCATTGAAGCAAGTCATCAATTTGCCAAAGTGTTCTCCCCATCTTTCCAGCTGCTTGCCACCTTC